TTTGAGTTGTTTTGGGTGTGTGACATTTCGGGACAGCATTCGCCACTTCCGTGGCCACGTGTGCTTCACGTTTGCTTCGTTGCCCGCCTGACTCGGTGATGCAAAGGAAGACGTGAAGCAAATCACCGATCAGCGTCGACGCTTGCAGGCAGGTTGGCCGCAAGTTGAGCCGAAAGGGAGAGAGGGATATTTCGACACCAAGGGGTTGGCCGTGTTTCGCCATGTTTTAAAGTGGCGTGCTACAGCAGCATGCAACTGTGTGTAGCCGCAGAGCATTGTTTCTTCGACCTCAAGAGCCTTGCCCAATTTAGCCACCCCACTAGCGATGGCCTCTAACCTAGTAGCGATCGCCTCCATCCTAGTAGCAACGAGCATCACACTAGGAGGCGCAGCTGAATTTGGTGAGCAAGGATCGTGATTTGAAGGACGAGAAATGCAACGTGTGTGGAAAAAGTATTACAGTCACTAGGAAGAAACATTACTGCACTGTACAAAAACTTGTCCAGTTTTTCTGTAGTTACGCGTTTTCTCAAAGAAGAGCCTTTGGAGATTCGAGTTCCACCTGGCCCTGTTTCCAGAGCAATTTCCACAGGAGATAGCCTTGGAGCTCCAAAATAGAGATGAGTGCGACCGTGGCACTGGCCCGTTTTTGAGCAAAACGTGACTGGAAGATGAAGCGGTATGATTCCAAAAAGGCGAGTGAATCCGGCGAAACCTGTTCTTACATGGATTGGACGAAAAACGGACTCAAAAAGGTAAACGGACATATGTATATATATATAAATGATGAATGGTAAGGCTGGTGAGGTATTTGAAAAGAATCCGCTAATATTTGGACCGCTCACAAAGTGAGCTGAGTTGAATATGCTAGGCATCTTTGGATCTGCCGAGCGCAGAAAGCCCAAGCCGTTTGCATCTCAGCCTGTTTGCCCACATGTTTGGAAAATAAGTTTTGAAAGATGCTTAATTGAAATGATGCTACCAGGAACAAGTGCATCGCTTCTAGTAACAAGTGCCTTACTAGTAGTAACAATAAGCTATTAGTTAATTTAAGTCAATTTTAATTTAATTCTAATAGCTTTTTGTTACTACCAGTAAGGCACTTGTTACCACTAGTGCTTCAAATCCCCATGTGCCAGGTGAGGGTTGTTGGATTTTATCAGAGTTGTCCCGTCCCGCCGCCTCCTTCTCCTCCGGTCCTCAACCGCCAGTGCAGGATCGCAGTGGGCACCACCGGACCTCCACAGATACTGGTAGAGTGCAAGATAGAATGCCAGCATGTATGCCAGATAGAGTGCCAGGATACAATGTGCAAGATAGGCACTTTCTTTGAAGGCAGAACAAATTTCGGAATACATGCAAAAGCACATACCAGGACCAAGTCGGACCATACGTCACACGTCAGACTTCACGGCAGTAAAAATGTCAGAGCACATCAATCACTGCCTGTCAGTACACTGTGCCTTCTTCCAAGTCGCCTCTTCGGGGTCACTCGAACAACTTCAAGCCTGCACTGGGACCAAGGAAGAGAATCATGTAAGTGCAACCATTAGCCGTGTCCCGTTTGCCTATTTCCAGGTTGACCGCACAGAATTTACCTAAAGAGTAGACTCGGCCACATTCAGCACCTTTGCAACGCACAGAAAGTTGGATTCCTTAGGGCAGGCTGAAGACGCTTCAAGCATCTTCAAGTGTTTGTTCCGTCGTGCAGTTCCCTTCAAAGGTGTTTCTGTCAGAGTCATGGACAACAAGTATAATTATACAGTGTGTACTGTATACATCAGAGTCGGCACGAGGAGCGGTTCCTCGCAAATTTAAGTCAGTCTTGGTGGTGGCGGTTTTCGGCCGAAGTGGTCTGTGGAACAAGGAATATGGGCATGGGCCAAGCCGCTGTCGGAAAGAAGTTGGGTTTGGAACCTCAGATGAGAGGCGATGAGAGGTGCAAGTTCATTTTGATGCCCTTGGGTCCACCCGGCCTACCTCCCCTTCACTTTCCCACGACATTCTTACAGCACTCCTTAATTAGTTTAATTAGAAACCGTTGGAAAAGAGACAAAGGATAAATCCAGAGTCTAAAGTTTGAAAGAACCGCTTCGACTCGTGAGAATGCAAAAGCACTTCTAAAGCGTTTGTCACAAAAACACTGCATGCACGTTGCATATCGCACAACTCCACACCTAGGCGAGCTTGAGGGAACGGTTCAGTATGTACCCCTTGACTACTAGAATACCACTAGAAACAAACATGTTTCTTCCTTCCGCTTCCTTCCTGGCCGGCTTGCTTTTTTTGTTCCTATCTCTTCTTGTCCTTTAGGCCTTTCTATTTTAGATTTTGTTTCATGCTTTTGGACTCATGATGACTGTGTCTTTTTTGCAGAACGAACACTTTGAAATCAGAGGTCTGACAAATTCTTTTCTGGACAATTGGGGAACGGCAGCAAGCGGATCACGACGCGTGCGAAATCTTGCCAAGAACACTGCCTTGTGCCTGCCTCCAGGCGAAGCAGCTCAGTTTGGGGATCGGGATCGACGGCGTTTAGGGCTCAGAGCAAGACCGCAGAGGGAGAGATTTGGAGAAGCTTTGTTTTCGACTATGAAATCTTTTGAATGGTTTGCTGCAAGGCCTGCATGGGTTTTATTTTGTGTTATTTGCCGGCAAGAGCCGCTCTACTCCGTCCCGCAACCAAAGTGCATCAAAGTGTTATTTGCATCCTTGAAGTGAAGTTTTGCAGAGAATAATGCGTCTACGGACATTGGTATTTTCGCAGCCTTGGAAGACCAAAATCAGGACAAACTTTAGGGGGTACAGGGGTAACGTGCTTGCTTGATCGGGAGGTTACCGGAGGATCAGTGGCCGATGGCCGTTTTCGAGCATTTTAACGTGTTTAAAGCTTCAAAGACATACTATAGTAAAGGGTTCTTTGCTCAATCAGTTTGAAACGGAAAGTCTTCCCGACTGAAGCGGATACCGGATGATACTGGATGAGTGAAAAGTCGAGGCAAACATCGAGGATCGTTCCTAGTAGCTTCCTTGCTCCTAGTGGCAAACTGGACATTTGCTCGCTTGTCGTCTCGCAAGTGGATGGGGCGTGCAACATGACTTGCTGGTCCAAGAGCATTTAGTCGCAGAACTTGCTAATTACGATGATTCTTGACCTCTAACAAGCAGTGTTTAACATGAAGCGCCAGTAATAGGACAGGGTACTAGGGCAGAATGCGCACCGTGCGTCGTTGCGCATGCCTGGCCGACACAAACAGCGCCAACTCCAGCGACCCAATCGCTATCGCGCGTGGGGGACGTCTTCACCAACCGCGTAACCGCCCTGGGGGACATCACCGGAGTCTGAGTTTGCTGCGGGATGCGGATGTTTTGGGGCGGATGTTGATTTACACGACGTGGAGTGGTGCATGGTTGATCCCGTGCCGTAGTCGACTTGGCCACAATTTCGCCGAAATGCAAACTGTTGGCTCAGCTGTTTTCCTTTCTTGTTGCCGGTGCCAGCGCTCCGAGGCAAACAGTATGGCACACGGCCCGAGACGCCGAACACTTATTCCCAACAGAAGACTCCGGCGCCTTGGACTAAACAAGAAACGAGAGGATGAAATATATGGTGAAACAAGGGGGTGAAAGCAAAGAAATCCAAAAGAACATTAGAAAAGAGATGGGAGTGTTGAACTTTTGCTTTGAACATGATTTACAACATGGGAGAAAAAGCTTTATGCTGCTGTTTTCATGACCCAATGACTCGTTGTTTTTGCTGTCAACAAGCGCGCGTGCTCTACTGTTGAATGTTTGTGATCTTAGACCTTTCCTGAGGTGCTTCTAGGTCAGACACACTGAAGGTGCTGACTTGGCATCGACCTTGGAGAACGGAATCATTTGCTTCTTGTGTTTCGAGCATATTTTTCAGTGACTGAGCGTATTTTGTGTTGTGACTGAGGCCGTCTCGAATTCGAGAGTGCAAGGCCGCAGTCACGAACTTCAAACATCGATCATTTCTTCACGGCTGTGCTACGCGGCGCTCGGCTACGCCCTGCGCCTGCTAGGCCGGGTTCCTCACTTGGTGTCCGGGACAATGACGCCCTCTTCAGTAGTTCGCGGTGCCTCCGAACGGAGGATCCGCCGGGGACACCACCAGAGTGTCGCCGCTCGAAATGAGCATAGCTCACATCTGTTCTGTAATTTCCAGTTCAACGGTTGATTTGTGTTTCTTCTATATAGCTTCCTTAGATTAGCTGGCATTCCATGGAGGCAGGCGAAGAGCACAATTTGAGTTTGTGCCTTCAGGGATCAGAGGTGGGCGTTTCTACCCTGAATTCATTGGAACTTCTGGTCCAGGCTGCACCGTATGGACACAGATATTCCAGATTTTTTGGATGACAAGTGGGTTTCTTGGCTCTTTGAGGAAGTCAAGAAGTGAATGCGAAATGATGTGAAAGATTTGGTGACGCATTTGACTGCGCTGAAGAAATAAGTTGTAATTCCTGATTCAGACAGAGATGAAACTGGCAGGTTTATCGATCAAACGAAACGAGCAACTGCCAAAAAGCAGCAGGTTGGACAAATGCTCGTATTTGAGCGATTGATAGCTCTGACCTGTACACTATACACCTGTGGCATTGAAAGCAGGTTGCAAACCATGCCTGTAATTCAAACCAGAAGATGGAGCAATGGGCTAAGGCCTGTTTCCTCCAAAGAAGATTCCTGATAGCATATTCTTGGCTTAAAAAACATCTTGAACGGAAAGGCTTCCAGCATCTCAAAGTGAAATGAAACCATAAGAGCCCTTCGTTGCTTGTTGTTTTACATTTAGCTGCGGAGACTTAGAGATGCTTCAATACCTCCGCAGAGACGTCCGCAGCTTTGAGCGGGATGTTCACATGTTTCACCTGATTTGGCTCAAGGCTTCCCGGGTCGCGGCTAATCACAAGCACGGGATTGTTTTTTTCCACTTTGCTTTTGGTCTTTGGGTTGTGTGATTTCACGCAAATAGACTTGCCATGGCTCAGTACGGAAAGGCCGAATACTGGGAGGACTGCAGATAAGAAGGGTTGACGGTTGACCACAGGCATTCTTCAGGTGAAGAAAAACTGACCTGGTCGGGTTCAAAGGTTGCTGAGAAGTGAAGAAACAACAGAGAGTTGCTCATCATTTTCAGTCTTGAAGATTGAAAGAAAACATATTCAGAATATAGAGCAACATGCTTGCAATTGTTGTTGTTGTTGTTGTTGTTAGACTGATTGTTTTTTCCCAGGAGCGCTACACAAGGGATCCTGAGCCTTTTGATTGGTATCAGCGATGGGCTGGGCTCAAGGCCGAAATGCGAAGCACATCGGGTGTCACAAACTGAGACTGAGACACGTTGAGAAACCCGTCGAAGGATTCTCCTTTGGAAGAATGTGCTGTTGATCACAAGCACTGAATTGTGGGCAAGCACGATGTCACGGTTCATTCTTCGGGTTTCTCGTTTGAAGATCGTTTGTGCCATCGAAAGCACCAAGAGTCAACACCGCACTATAGCCATAACGTACCTCGTAGCTCCAAATACAATATCAACAGTGCAAGCACCTAGCAAGAACGCCTTTTAAAGGCAAGAGCTCTTTATCCATTCGCCGCAGTACCGACGAACTTCATTTGCCGTCATTTTACGTTCATCTTGTATTCCAACACCTATCATCTCATACCATCTCTATCTTCAGGATACCTTCACCGAGTTCGCGCAACCTTCCCACGCCATCTTGATGCTGGGCTGTGGCAACTCACGCCTCAGTGAGGAGACCGACAGAGATGACGGAGACTTATATAAATGATTTTTTGACGGGCAGAAACAGACATTGTAGAATGTTGCAGACCCCTTTTCAGTCTCCATCAGTGTCGTTTGACTAGTTTTCATGCATTAGTTGTCCATTATGCCCAGAAGGCATGCAGGATGACCTGTTGCTGACACAAGCACCATTGAGAAAACATCAAGGAAGGGACTGGAGATGACTGGAGATGACTGGAGAGACTCAATGGAGAAGACGCCTGGAAGACCCCTCGCTGTGCAGGAGATGTATGAGGAAGGCTATCACAGTATCACCAATATCGACCTTTGTATGACAGTCATCAAAGCAATGCAGGAGAAGGACCGCGACAAGCCCGGTTGCTTGATGTGTTTAATGCTGGATCATCCAAGCTTTCGCAACCTGAACCGATGATGAGCGCTGCTCCGATTGTTTCTGCATCACAACACATTCGGACTAATTGCGCTTTTGATGAAAATAGCCTTGGTCGGCGGCCAGAGCAGCTTTCGAGGCTTGACATACAAGCAGATGGATGGACGCTCCATGGAGCTCCCAGATGCCAACTTCAATGTGGTCATCGACAAGGTGCAGGGAACGGATGATGAGAGTAGCTGAGCCTATGTTTGTTTCAGCTCAATGAAAGAATATACTGTATATATAAATATGTAATTATATAATATATATATAATACATATATATAATATATAGTCAGCACTTTATATGAAAGAAAGAAACTGCGCAAGGTGTCTCTTTCTTGTTCGGGTTGACAGGCCTGCCTGGACTCGATCTTGTGCGGCGAGGGCTCCACACACAACGCCCAGAAGCTGTTGACGGAGGCCATGAGTTGAATTCACAGAATGAGCTGAGTTTAAAAGCACCACACTGAATGCAGTATAAGAAAACACGGGTAGAAGAACAGGGAGATGCATTTTTAGAATCACGAGAAGGAAACCGACAATTGCTCGATATTGCTTGAAACGCATTCATTGTACTAAACATCTTAATCTTGAAGCGTAGTTGAAGACGGGGCCAAATCCCGATCAAAACACATTGCGACACTACGTGAGCTCGCACAGCTTAGAAGGGCTTACCAGTTGCAATTTAATGCAGGGGGGTGGGTGGAGAATCTGATCAAATCGCATTAAAAAACATGTGTTTTTTTGCATGTCACTTGGTTTTTGCTTGTCCTACTTTCCTAGCAAGAGCTTCGCCCATTTCAATTATTGCTGCAGCTGTTTGTTGGAGGGTCAATCATGACACTGGGGCGCCTTCCTGCTGCCAATTGTTATTGTACTCAACAAAGATTGTTCATGTTACCCGGTGAGCGACATGCTTTTCATTTGCCAATCAAGATCTTTGGATGACACCACCACTACCAAGGGCAAGCACTGAGGGGGGTTCTCAAGCCACTGTGACTTCCAGCTCCACTGAAGCAACAGTGGAGAAAAAATGCGAAAGTGCACAGAGCCCTTTGTAAGCCACCATGGCTTCTCACCAGCCACAGGGTAACCACAGAGTGATGTTCCAATGTTCCAAATCAAAAGCCACCATGGCTTCTCACCATGAAAACATTTAAAAGCCACCATGGCTTCTCATATTGTAAGTGCATAGAAGAAGCCATTGTCACAAAAACAGTTGTGGGTTTCTGCATTGGAAAAAACAAAAACATGTTGGTTTCCTGTATGTCATGTATTCAATGCATGTGTTTGTTTTTTTTGCCTGGAAGGCCCACAATAGAGGTTTTGACTTAAGTCCGTCAACTACATGGTAGAACAAGAACACTTTCTTCATTGTTCTTTGCTTGTTGTAGTCGTGTGCAAGGAGATCTATGTGTTTGGGTTGTTTGACGCTACAACTTGGCAACCAAGCGGCTGTTTGAGTTACGCCATTCGCCGATTCGGATGTTGCCCCACCTCACACCTCACACGAATTGGGAGCGAGTTCATCGCCAGGTCTCCAGGGTTTTGCAGCCAAACGGGGTGTACATCGCCGTGTCTCACGGGCAGCCATCCTATCGCCTCACCTACCTGCAGCGGCCAGCAACTTGACATGCTAAAAGAATGCCCAGTGTTTATCAGTGTCGGACGTAGAAAGAAGTATGTTTTTGTGTTCAAGGAAAGAAACATTCACCAGCTTTGCACCGAGGAGTTTGGATGGAATGTCAAGACCTACACCGTGCAGAAGCCAATGATGGGTCAGACACCAAGCTGTAGGTGGCACATGTTTGCTAGGAAGGATGTTTGTTTTGGATCCGTTCTTCAAGAGAACCAGCAAGTGAAGTTGTGAATGGCGGTTGAATAAGACGTGAACAGTTGTTTTAACCAGATCACTGATCACTACGCTGAAAGGGGCCACATGTTTCATGACAAGTTTCTCAGCAGAACAAAAGGATTTGCATCTTCATCGCAGGTATGACTGCCTCATTGTCTGCAGATGACAAGGACAGCGTTCACTACATCTACGTCTGCGTGAAGGGCGAAGTGGCCAAGGCAATTCGGCTTTGCCTCGTCACGATGTGAATATGTGTTCACGTGTTTCGCTTTGGGTTTTGTTCTTTCAACCGAAGTTCAGTCGCCGAGGATTCATGAGACCGGGTGTGTGCCCAGGGTGCGAACTGAGAGATTTCGTGCAAATCAAGACTTTGGCGGATGCCAAAGCGCACACGAAGGATGTGCTATGGAGACCTGCTATGTAAATGCCTGCCTTTCAACTCAAATGTCAATACCTCTCAGTCAAAAAATTGTGAGAATATACAAAGCAACACAAGAGGGGTTCCTGAATGTTGTTTGATGCTTAATCGTCATGGCTTATAAACTCTGTAAGGCAATTGTCACGATAAAGTAAAGTCGAAACTGGAAGGCTTGCTGGATATGCTGTGAATTCCAATCAGAAACTGCGTGGCGTGGCAAAACAGGCAGTGTGTCCTGGACATCCTTGGAATTGGACCAAGAAAGAACAACAATTATGTTGCATGATGCATGTCGCCATGATTCAAATCTGGACTTAAGTGGGGTTTGCCTCACGCAGGTTCCTCAAGGCAAGAAGATGTAGGGTGTCCAAGGTGTCAATCGCAGCAGCGCGGCGAACGACAAATTCTAGGAGATGTCCTCTTTCTCTAATCTTATAGAGATGTGTATATATATATAGTCTTCTTTCTTGAAGTGGTAGTGAAGTCCACCAAAAGGGACAGTTAGAAAGAAGTCGTAAGAAGTCTCAGAGAGGAAATAAGGTCCCTAATATAGGTCTCTCTTGAGATTACCATTTTTTCTCTCTTGGACTTCTGTCGTTTCAAGCCGAAATCGAAGATCGAACGACTCCCAAGGTCGAAGTCCCCCATGGCGAGCTACCCAGAATGGGAAGCGTTGTGTCGGCTTTTGCCAAAGGCTTTTGCCAAAGGATGGCCTCCAACCCAATAACGATGGCCTCCAACCTAAGAGCAATTGCCTCCAACCTAATAGCGATGGCCTCCAATTTAAGAGTGATGGCCTCCGACCTAATAGCGATGGCCTCCAACCTAAGAGCGATTGCCTCCAACCTAATAGCGATGGCCTCCAATTTAAGAGGGATGGCCTCCGACCTAATAGCGATGGCCTCCAACCTAATAGCGATGGCCTCCAACCTAGTAGCGATGGCCTCCAACCTAATAACGATGGCCTCCAACCCAATAACGATGGCCTCCAACCTAGTAGCGATGGCCTCCAACCTGAGAGCGATGGGCTCCAACCCAATAACGATGGCCTCCAACCTAGTAGCGATGGCCTCCAACTGAGAGTGATGGCCTCCAACCCAATAACGATGGCCTCCAACCTAGT